TTAAATAAATTTTTCGATAATACATGATGATAAGTACTTAGTATGACTATACTGCCTATAATGAGCCAACAAGAATTCATTTCTGTACATTTCTAGATCTTTTAAGAAATCTTACTGAAAATAATTTTTCATGCATATATTCTGATAATGGTTTCCCTCCCCAGTCTCTTCCCAGATCCTCCACACCTCCCACTCATCCAACTCCACGCCTTCTTTTTCTCTCTTTAGAAAGCTTACTCTAGTCAATTACCTTTACTTTCATTCTTTATTCTTTGTCTACGCATCTAACACTGTTTTATTCATCGCTTGAATCTTTCATCTGCATTCTAGAAGGACGGTTTGAATTGGCCCACTCCAATGCTAGGTTCACTCTTTACTCCTCTTTCTCACTTCTAGTGCCTATGTTTCTTCTTGTAATATTTTTCACTTATCTGTAACCCTTGCCCTGCATGCACCTCTTGTGTGTCATGCCCTGCCTTATTTTTTCCTACCTGTTGAAAATTCACCCTATTCTTTAAAAGATATTTCCTATTTTTATAACTTTTTTCCTAAACAAAGCAATCCTGACAATGCCCGGAGATTTATTTCCTAGATTATTTTCTGGTGCAATCAAATTGTCATCCTTGTAGATCCATAATCCTTCTATGACCTTCAACGCAACAAGTGAAGCTCCCTCTTTCCATCTACTACTTATGTTACATAAACTCCAGTTATTAAATGTAATGTGTACATGATATCTATGAGCACTTTGCTCAATTGTTATGTGTAAAAGAAAAAAAAATGAGACAAATTTTTTCACAAAAAAGATGCTTTCTACTACCAAGAAATAAAAAAAAAAAACTTAAAAGTTTGACCCAATTTAGAATAATTACAGGATATATATGGAGAGAGAGAGAGAGAGAGAGAGAGAGAGAGAGAGAGAGAGAGAGAGATGCAAATAAGTGTGTGGCTGCATGTGCCTGAGTGTGCACATACAGAGGCAGGAGTGGGATATTGACTGTCTTCCTCTATCACTCTGCCTTGTTGCCTTGAGGCAGAGTCTCTTGCTGAAGCAGAAGCTCACTGTTTCCCATAGGATGGCTGAACCTGCCTCAGCCCCACATGCAGGGAGGGGTTACAGGTGCATGCAGCCGTGTTTGGCATTTTATATGGTTTCTAACTCAGATCCCTATGCTTTCACAGTGAGTAGTCTTACCCAGTGAGCCATGTCTCCAGTTCCAGGTAGATGATTCTATCACCCCACGCAGGATGGACTAGGGACTGCAAATTAAGAGTACAATGATGCATAAGAATTGAACGTTAACAAGTTTTCTGGAATTTTCTTTCATTCTCTTTATGTTGAACAAAAGTGTATTCCACACCCCTTACATATCAAGTCTATTAGAAAAAAAAAAAATCCAGATCTGAAAGCCAAAGAGATTCTGCTCCTGTATTTCATTCCAGTGAAGACAGAACAGTACTGTGGCATGGTTCATAGAGAGAAAAACATAATCTCCATTGTCACTGTCATAATCCAAATGACATTTGAAGCCGGGCAGGCATGGTAGTGCATACCTTTAATTGTAGCACTTGGGAGGCAGAGGCAGGCAGACCTCTGAGTTCGAGGCCAGTCTTGTCTATAAAGTAAGTTTCAAGACAGTTACACAGAGGAACCCTGTCTCAAAAAAAAACAAAACAACAACAAAAATCTTACTTAATGTCAGAAAGCAAGCATAGTGAGTCACAATTAAAATTTAATCTGCTCGTGCACACTGTCTAACAAGAAGAGTACGTGACTTAGAAAGACCTTTAGTAAGTGCTCTTATGTTTCCTGTGAGTGTAACTTATGAAAATCCAACTGTGAAACAAGGATTTTCAAACAGTTCAGTAATAAGAAAATTTGAAAATAAATTCAGCAAAGTTGAAGACAGCGATTTTAAGAATATCACACATTTTATTAATAGAATGTGTCCAATGTGTTGATAAATGCATTATTGAATGTATGGCCCATAACTTGGGTTTCTGATCCTAAATGCATTTTGGCCAACTGTTTGGGGACTGAATTTTTCATATGCTGATTTGTTCATCTAGTTGATCCAAATGCTTCTAAAATCATTTGGGTTCATGCCTTGGTGTTTGTACTGTTGACAGTTCTGGGCTTGCTAAAGAACTGTATTGTTTTTAGTGACGGTTTTTCAGATCATCCAAATAAACAGCACAGTACTAATTAGTGTGGAAGAGCTAGTGGTTTCTGAAATTCCCAAGAATAAAAATCACAAGAACCTCAACATAATCTCCCTATTGGTGACTTGTGCAACTCCTTACTACCTTCTGTTTTCACACTGTGGCTTTGAAAACCATCCTTGAACAAACATCATCTCCAGTTTATATAGGGATGGAGCACAGAGCTTTGAGCAGGATAGAGCTGGTGTACTTTTTTTCTGTGTTCTCTTTATGACAGGGTAGATGGGGTCAACAGTCCCAAGCTGTCCCTGTATGACTTGCAGCAACATGAAATCCTTCTCCACGGTGTAGCTACAAAAAGTTGTCAGGCAGATCTAAGATCAATATTATACTTAATAGCATTTGTAAAAGAAGAAATGTAAATATGCATTAAATAGATCTTTGTTTCTTCAGAATGGAAAAAAACTAGAATTTTCTTCTAATACACAGCGATATTTTAAAAATCATAAGAAAAAAATGAGAATTATCATGACCTAAAATATTAAAGCAAATATCAAATTACTTAAAAGCTACTAAAATCTATTTTGGGGCTATTAATTTTTCTTTAGACAAAATAACATTTATATGTCCTACAGTTTCTAGAATTATGTATTGGAAAAACACAATTATTTCACAATATAATTTAACCACATATATTTTCAGAACTCTAAAATCAAATCTTGTTACAATGGTAATAACTGTAAAAGGCTAAATAACATCTTTAAAAGGTGATGTGTTATAAAGACGACTGCTCCATTTTCCCCCCTTCAGAGAATTCAAATTATAATCCTATGGCACCACCTGTTGTTGGGATCGCAGAATTGACCTAAATGACAAGACCACATGCTACTGAAATTAAAAGTCTAAAGATAGAGCATAGGTCTTGGACAGCTGGGCAGATGACATAATGAGACAGTTACCCGGTCATTGATTCACTCAGATGCCACTTTGACCCTGACCTTCTATAGAACTGCACAGGATATTTTGAGGACCCATCATTGTATGAGCACAAGACAATATATAATTAAGATTAGTCTCCCTTCATGCTTTTAAATGTAAGCCATGGAAGAAAATCATTGGTGACATTGATGTGTATTTGTAGTGTGTGTGTGTGTGTGTGTGTGTGTGTGTGTGTGTGTGTGTGTGTGTGTGTGTGTGTAGAAGCCAAGGGACAATATCAGGAGTCATTATCTATCACTCTCCACCTTATCTTTTGAGGTCAGATCCAGCAAGCCCTGGAATCCCTGTCTCTTCACCCCCATGCACACTGTGCTGGGGTTACAGGCATCTGGGTTCTGGGGATCCAACTCAGGTTCTCATTTTTTGTGACAAGTACTTTAATGACTAATCTATCTCCTCAACACCAACATTGATTAAAAAATACAACATATAATAAGGTTGGGTTGAACATTGAAGTTCTGCAGATCGTATTTTTGAAGCATTGATTTGATTATTTATTGGAAACATGATGGACTGAGTAAATAACCAGTAAATACATTTTTAATTAACTTTTATAAAATAATGAATATACTATTATATACTTATATTTTTAAAAACTAAAGAATATCTTCATAGGCAAAGTCATTGAAGGACTTCAGAAGCAGAGCAATAAGACTAGAGAGGTAGATCAGTCCTAAAAGTGTTTGCCACTCAAGCATGAGGATTCAAGTTTAACCCAAGCTCGGTATTGTGACATAGTCTTGAGATCCCAGTATTGAGGAGACACAGACAGGATGATTCCTGTGTCTTGCTGGCCAGCCAGCCTGGTTAAATTGGTGACCCCAAGTTCCAGTCTCAGAAAACAAGAGGGATGGGTCTCACAGAGAAAGGACACTTGAGGTTGACTGTAGGACTCCATGTGTGCCTATACATATAGAAACACACACGCACACGCACACGTATGCACGCATACACACACCACAGAGACACACTAAAAACAAAAGGCAAAGCAATAAATCAATATGTTGAATTTTCCTCAGCTGTCCTGGGAACTTACAGGATGTGGCCTTTTGAAACTCTGATGACAGAATCCTGAAGAAAGTTCCACTGAAGAGGAGTTTCTATCTAAAAATGTTTGCAAAGCTAACAAGAACACATTTCATCACGAGTACGTCAGGAAACATCATAAATTCTCAGGCACAGTCAAAAAACAATTAGATAAAACTTGTATCACCTAAAAATTTATTGATATTTGAAATTCTGTGAATTGGTTAAAAGTGGGAATAAAAAGAACCAAGCAGAGACTTAAAGAAAGACTCTAGAAACAACATAGACAAAGAAATAGAAACTATGAATGAGATTGATACATGGAAGATGAAATGAATAAACACAATAAATCATCCTCTTATTTCTAAAAATGATTTCTAAAAATCATTAAATGGTATGATTGAGGGAAATATTAAAACTGAAATGGCTGATTTTCTCATAAATTGATGAAAATCATGAACTTTGTCATTGAAATTATGAAAATGTCCTCTTCTTTACCTCCCTCCCTCCCTCTTCCTCCTTCACTTACTGCCTCTCTCTGTCTCTGTCTCTGTCTCTGTCTGTGTGTGTGTGTGTCTCTCTCTCTGCTTCTGCTGCCATGAGGTTAGCACCTTTGCCCTACCATGTGTTCCCACGATGGCATTCTGCCTCACTACAGGCCTCAAATAATGCAGCTAAGTGATCCTGGACAGAAACTTCTGAACTGGGAAACATAAATCTTCCCCCATTTATAAGTTTTTTACTTCACAGATTTCATCGGGGTGGTAGAAAGCTAGCAAAAATAATGTATTTCCAACCTGAACACACGAAAGGACAGCAGTAACCTTGTGCCTTACTATTGCTGGCCTAAGGTGACACTAAAGTGAGCCAGGCCTATGTCTATCTGTCCAGGCTCCGATCCCAATTAGAGCTTCTTCATAATGCTGCAGAATGTGTGGCAGAGAAGGTCCCAGTGCAGAGGGCATTCATTCATCCTTTGGCAAACATGGCATTCTTTGAACAAAGGTCATGGTCAATTCACTGAACCAGGGAGTTAATGATCACATACTTCTAGTTTTTCATGCAGTAGTCCAGCGCCAACTTTGAGCCAAGAAAATGTGGACAGTCCTGTGTTAGCTTTTCACTGCAACAAACAAATAAATATGAAATCAACTTAAAAAGAGAAAGTGTTCTAGCTGGATGTTTAAGAGATTTCCATGCATGTTGACTGGTCTATTGTCCGTGACAGAATAACATACCATGGTGGAATCCAGAGAAAAGCCACTCACTTTATACAGGAAGGGAGGGAGCAAGGAAGGGCCTGGGGTCCTACAATCCTCTTCAAGAACACACATTGTCATGGTGACCTAAGAATGTCCAACTAAGCCTATTTCCTTAAGGTTCCACTACATCCCCAAAGCACCATGTTCGCCATTGGGACATTGAAAGTCCAAACTGTAGTAAGTTCCTACTCAATAGAAGTAAGACACACCAGCAGAGCTGGGGAAAGACTCCCAATTAGAAAGCTAGTATTTGTTCCCATGTGAACTGTTGCTGACTTAGCTCAAAGCTTGAAGAACATTACCTTCCGGCTGTCCAAGTCCATCCAGGTTCAGCGACTGTGCCTACCTGAAATCAGTATTCCTCCACCAGACCATGGAAGGCTGTGTTACTATGCAACTCAGTTCCACATATGTTTAATGCATCCCTAACCTGCCCAGAGAGAATGAGATGTGAGGGACTTATAGAAACACAATTCCCAGAAAAAAAGCATGAAAAATAGTGGGAGATAAAGATCCTGAACACTGAAGGCTAAAGAACTATAGAAACTCAGAAGACAGAGCCTCGAGGGGCGGCTAGGTGGTGAAGACCATGTATTGCAGAAGGCCAGTTTGATTCCAAGCACCCACATCAGGTAGCTAACAACCACTTATAACTCTAGATTCAGGGGTTGTCTCTTGTCTGCAGGTACCTGCACTCACTTACATTCATGAACCCACATACACACGTGCACAACTACCCATAATTAAAGATAAATCTTAGAAGGAGTACAGAAGAGGGGCTAACATAGTCAAGCTATGGTGTAATTTTAATTATATTGTAATCACGTCACGAGTCCTTAGGAATGCAGTGGACAACAGCAGGAAAGGCTACAAGAACGTGAGCTTAAAGGGCCTCAGCTTCCTTTTCTAGCTATCTTTGTGTTATAACAAAATACCTAAACTGAGTGGCTTATAAACAACAGAAACCTATTGCATCTGGCTGTGGAGACTGGAAAGAACAAGATCAAGGCACTGACCAATGTGGTCTAATTATTAAGGCCTATTTCTGATTCATATGTGGCAGTAGTGTATGACTGCATGAAAAGGAAGAGCAAGTTCTTGGGTCCTCTTTCACGCCAATCCCAAGCAGGAGAGTGCTACCTTCATTACTAAATCAATTTCCCCAAACCCCATGTTCTACCATCAACATTGTGTGGGGTAGGATGTCATCAGATACATTTGGAGTAGGGAACAAATGAACACTGAGGTCATTGAACTAGCAGAGGAGCAGGTGAGAAGCCAAGAGCTGCAGGAAGCCTTTGGAGGATGGAAAAGAAAAGGAAACTAATCTGTCTTTTTAAAAGTATAATAATAATATTTTAAATTTTTGGAATTTGTTAGAGGGAGAAAAAGGAAGGTACCCACCTTTTTCTCCCTCTAACACCTCTCCTCTCTCTCTCTCTCTCTCTCTCTCTCTCTCTCTCTCTCTCTCTCTCTCTCTCTCAAATTCATAGCCTATTAGCACACCCTTCCATGTATGTACATATTCATGTACACATATATACATATTCCTCAAGACATTACTACAACCCTCTCAGTCCATATGATGTTATTTCTCAAGGCTGACCATTGGTATTGAATTGCAGGGCTTTTCCCTGGGGAAGACTATTCCTCCTGCCCTCAGCATTTCTTAGTTCTTTGTCTAGGGTTGTGGCCTTGTGAGCTTTCACTGTCTTCATTTTGTCCTGTCTGGTAGCATTATAAAATATAAATATGGCCTTCTCCTGTCATGGATCAGAGCTCTTCTCAAGCTCTTATGATTTTTTTAAATAAAGTTTATATTGACAAATAAGCATTGCTAGCATGTCTATTGGCTGTCGTCCTTGTTCCAGGCTGGTTTATGCAGGGGATCACGGGGGATGTGTGAGGAACAATAGGGAAGGAATAACATGGTACAATGATGGGGGGAGGGGGGCAGGGGAGACTTGATGCCTTAACTATTGAGTGGGGAAGGAGATGAATCAGGATGGAGGAGTGTAAAAACAACACTAAGGATGTCCGAGAACGTCATAAGGGATCATTAGCTACCTAAGATTATATATAATACATTGAAGTCTGTGCATACATAGATATATATAGTTTAGATGAAATTCTCACACTTGACCTGGCAATACTCCCCCAAAGATTCAGACCAATGAGTAGTCCACTGGCAGGCTTGAGCCTTTCCAATCAGTATGTCATAAAGCCCGCAGAAATCAGCATGCCCAGCTCTGCGGCTACACCGGCTCCATACCTCTTCAGCCCTCTATTTTCCTTTCTCCAGTATTACTAGAGTAATAGCTTCACGCTGTGCTCATCGCTCCCCTAGCTGACTTACAGGGCAAAGAGGCCCATTGTAAACCCCAGCTTTTACATTATGGTTTCAGTAATACTGGATTTTTAGATGTCAAAGACTTAGTTGCTCAGTCCTGTTTCCCCACAGAAAATCAGGCAAACTCATCACTTCCATCCCCATTTGCAGTTCAGCTCCACTTCTGTCAACAGAGATGCTAGTAGTATGTTCAGGTAGAGTTATGTCTCAACTTGTTAGTTAATCTACCAGGTTCACCCATTCTGCTTCCAGAATGCTGCCTGTGGGATTTGCTACTACCTAAACTCAGCACTGATATGGCTCTAACTCAAAGCTTTTCTCCCAGACCACTGCGGTTGCCTCCCGAGTGGTGTAGCAATGTCCAGACTCTTCTCCTAATTCACTGTCTGCACTCCTCCCTGCCAGGCAGCATTATAAAATACAAATATGGTCTTCTCAGCTGTTACTCAAGACTCTTCCCAAGCTCCTGGTACTTTTTAAATACAGTTTATATTAAGAACCAAGCAATATTAAGGAAGAAGGGGATAGGCTCTGAAATCAAGCCTCTGTCTTAAAACATTTCATCATTTCATGCTCTGTCCTGAGTTTATATCCTGATTTTTTTTTTCATTTATTGCGTGACCCAGGGCAAAGTACTTATCCTTGCAAGAGATCTAGTAACCTACATCACAGGGTGTGAGAGTTATGTATTGTAATATATATATATAAGAGCTCAGTACTGACCTGCATAGTCCTAAAACAATAAATATTAGCTGCTGTTATTTTTATTTAAGACAGTGCCCTATATTTTTTTAAGATCCTAACCCCTGTAGTGATCAGCTAGTGATGCCCTAATGAAATATTTCAGGCTAGATGGCTTATGCAGGCGTTATTTTCTTTTTCCAGTTCTGGAAGCCAGATTTCTAACATTAAACAGCTCTAGGTATTGTCTTACGCAGTGGTTCTCACCCTTCCTAATGCTGCAACCCTTTAATACAGTTCCTCGTGTTTTGATGACCCCCAACCATACAATTATTTTTGTTGCTACTTCATAACTGTGATTGCTACTTTTATGAATCATAATGTAAATATCTGTGTTTTCTGATGATCTTAGGTGACTCCCATAAAAGGGTCATTTGACCCACAAATCGGTCATGACCCACAGCTTAAGAACTGCTGGCTCACAGTGAGACTTCCCTTTTGGATCATTGGTGGCTGACTGCATAATGTAGTTACATGGCTTTCTCTCCGTGAATGGTGAAAGGTGAGGGAGAAGAAAGAGGAGAAAGGATAAAGAGAGAATAAGTAAATAAATATATGTATTCTGGTGTTTATTTACAGCAAATAGGATGCTCATCCTATTGAATAAAGGCCCAATCCTATGACCTCATTGAACCTGAATTATCTATTGAAATGTCTCTTCTCCCAGTGCCTTCATGGTAAGGCTTTAGATACATAGAATTCAGAGAGAGAGACAGTTCGGTTCCTAACTTGTATCTTTCTAGTTACAGAAAAATTAGAATTTTTCCACAATATTTCATACCTAAAAGGGACATATACTATCTCATTATAAATATATGCACATATATGCATATACATATATATAAAACTTTTCCTTTTAAAATATTATTGTATACACACATGATGTGTGTAGAGGTATGCATGCTACAACATATATGTGAAGTCAGTTCTGTCATTCACATGAGACCCACGATTCTTCATGGTTGCAGGCAAGCATTGCTGTGGATTTCTATATATATAAATAAACACTGATTGACCAATAGCCAGACTGGAAGTATAGGTGGGACTAACAGAGAGGAGAATTGAGGAAAGAGGAAGGAAAGGAGGGACCACCTGGAACCACAGCCAGGACAAGGAAGATGTAAAGTACCGGTAAGCCACAAGCCACGTGGCAAAGTAAAGATTAATAGAAATGGGCTTAGTATAAGAGTAAGAGCTATGGTACGGGTATAAAAACCGACATACAGACCAATGGAATCGAATTGAAGACCCTGACATTAATCCATGCACATATGAACACCTG